TGGACAGACCACTGGAGGGGCTGGTGTGTGTGCACTTCACGTTGCAAAGAAAGTTCGAGCCTCCAGAATTGCAATGTTGTGGCGTCTGACTTGTATGTCACGTTTGTGTAAAATGGCATATTCTTTAAAATAGTGTTGATAACTGGAATATTGTATGTATGCTTGGAGATGCTTTGTGTGAACCTAAGACTGTCACTCAACAGATGTTGGATTGGGGAAAATCCAAAGCACAACTTCGAAATAAAATACATTTTTAGGTTTCGGTGCTGCAGTTCACATCCCTTCTCTGCTTCCTGACATTCCAATCCAGGAGTCCAGCTGCCCAGGAGGGAATATGATTCGTTAATGCTAGCTGAGCCCTGCCTGGCAACAGGAGAGATGAGGTGATGGTCCCCCACCCCAAGAACCGACCACCTCCCTCCCCCCCAGCAAGACACAGCCCAGGTGCATTTAAAATATGGATTTCCCTCCAGCATTTCCATTTAGACAGCGTGTAGACTGCCGAGATTTTGTAGAAAGCCTTCCAGCTCGCCATTGGGCAGTCTGTTGCCATGAGAACCATTTCCTCCACAGACTCCAGCTCCCCTGTTTTCAATGGGAACTGCTCTTATTTTAATCTCTAGTTAGATTGTCCCACTTGGAGCAGCCAGGCCTGTGAAGTGACTTGGGAGCTTTGCCAGCCACGACCAAGGCTGGCTTTCTTTGAATGATGGAGGTTGTATTCCTTCCGCAGCCAAAGCCCTAAGTCCGTCTGCCCTTGGCAGCCCCCTGCCTCCAGGAGAAGAGCAGACCATATGCCTGTGTTGGTGGCATTGAGTATGGGTCGGGGGCAGTGTACCGAAAACAATTTCTCTCCTTTAGATTTTGATTCTAGCCGATCGTAAGTACAAGAGTGAATTTCATTATTCAAAGCAACAAGCTAAAATGCATCCTAGGCCCCACGTTTACTTTTAGTGGACTTTTCTAATACTAGAAGCTCCCGGGGATGGATCAGATCTCACATCCGAGAGGCCCCAGTGTTCAGTGTTAAAATGAGTCAGAGCCCAGGACCAGACACCGCGTCCTCCAAGGTTCGTCATCTCCATCTGTTGTCTGGGTTCCCGTCACTGCTCTCCTGCCCTGCCACCTGTCGTCTTTCCCCTCCCCCACTGAATGGCAGACCTACACCCCAGCCTCCCCTGCCGCTGCTTTTGTCTTGGGTGAGTGGGAGCTGAGGCTGCTCTGCCGCCCTCTGCTGGGGGCCAGAGCCCCCTCTTGAGCGGGGGTGGCGCGCTGTGGGCACAGGACCTGCGGGCCTTTTCAGAGAGTCCCGAGCAAAGGTGGGCAGTTCCCCTGGGGTCCCCGTGATTCATTTCATACATCCCGAGGGGAGCTTGATGGGAAGTAGTTAACAATGAAACGCAGGCACGTTCCATCCAGATAGAAGCCAAAACAGGAGCCAGGGGAGTAGGAATTTAGGAAATGGGCTTTATGATTATCTAACTCAATGTGTCATGTCCTTAAGTTACGAAGCTTCCTTTTACTCAAGTGTCAGCAGACCTGGAATATCAGCTATGCCAAGACTTGTGCCCCAATCAATCAACAAAACGTGAAGGCTCACTGTGTGACAAGCACTGTCTTAACAATACTGAACAGGAGAAACAGGTAATGGAGCTTACTAGTTTCAGGGAGACCAGATAAATAAGCAAAATAAGTGTAATTCTGAAAATGAAAGTGTGTAATAAGATAGTAAGCCCTTGGGGGAAGGAGCAGTATGGTTACTCAAGAATCGTCTGGCCTGGTAAAGAAATGACAGACCTCAAACGAAAATACCAAATAGACTCTGGTATGTGATGATAAGAGTTTTAGGGGCAATTCATACCCGAGAACAAATTTAGGCACTATTGCATTATAGATGTATTCAAATTATGAGATTCCTGAGAAGAGAAGCTCCTGGTAATTAGAAAATCCAGCAGAGAAGGACCCAGCAAAGGAGACGGAGCAAGTGACAGGTAGGTGGCTGGGAGGGTGGTGTCACGGAAACCACAAGAAGGAAATGCTTCAACAAGGACAGAGGGATCAGCTGTCCAGTGTGGAAAGATGAGGCCAGGTGGAGAGGTTATCGTGGGTGAGCTGGGGCACCTTCAGCAGAGGGGAAGTGAGTTGGGTGGGCAGCCAGTGGGAAGTGAAGGGGGAGTCGGGCACTTGGCAGCTCATTCAGAAGCACTGCCTTGAAATGGAGGTGTCTAGAGGGACCCAGGAACCAGGTGTTTGGTTTTCAAATGGGCATCAGCCAGCATTGTTTGCTTAAGGGCAGGACCCAGTAGGATGGGAAGAAGAAATACACAGGAGAGGCGAATTACAGAGCACAAATGGAAGGGCTGGCCACAGCCGGGAGCAGGGGGACTTCGGTCTCACGAGGCGGAAGGTGGGTGTGACGCAAGGCAGAGTGGATGTGGGTGAGAAGATGAGGGAGTTCCCTCTTGACAGCTTCTTTTATGTCAGTGAAGTTTAAAGCCAGGGTTCCAGCTGAGAGTGGGAGGGAATTATGAGTAGGTCTGAAGAGCTGGGTGGATGAGGACTACTTTTCCATATCCGGTAAGGCAGCGCGTGTGGCGTGGGGCTCATTTCCCTCAGAGCTCTGCGGCTGCTCCCCAGCTCCCCCACTGCCTGGGGGAGCAGAGCCAGGGCTGGCTTCCCCACCTCGAGCTCCTGGCCAGAGCTGACCGGCAGACCTCGCGCCTCGGTGCTCCACAGGTGACGGAGCGGTGGGCACACCCTGCCTGCCTGCCCTCTCCTTGAAGGCACTCGACAGGGAGGCTGCTGGGACATACAGGCCAGAGCCACACGGGGCAGAAAAGGCAGTGGGTGTTGTCCGGGCAGAGGCCTACCTGGTAGCGGGCGCCGTATCTCCTCTTGTTTTCACACCAGCCCTGTGAGAAGGGCCTAGACTTGCTCAAAGTCAAGCAGAGCAGGCTGTGGAGCCAGGACCCAAACCTCTGGAATGGCAAAACGCCTGCCCTTTCCACTCTACACTGGGCCTCCCTGTGTAGACGGGAGCTTTTTATCTGACAGCTGTCGTCCAAGACAACCCCTGGACCCCCACTCCCCTGCTCCTGCCCCTGGCCCTTGCCTACCTTTGGATTGCCACTTCTATTTCTATGACTCCTCAGAGCCACTTGGGAAAAAGTGGTGAGGCTTCATGTAGACTTCCTGTTCCCTTCAGGAGCTGGGCAGGCGCCTCCGCAGAGGTGAGAATGGCCACGCTGCCCAGCTGGGGCCAGAAGTTCAGAACTGCAGGCGGGACATTCATTCGTTCTGTCCACACAGAAGATGTGACCTCTCAGAGGATGCCAGCAAAACCTCCTCTATCATCACACAGGGCTCCAGCCTGCCTCCCACCTCTCCCCACTTTCTCTGGCTTTACCACGTGTGGGACCCAAACAAGTCACCCTCTCATACCTCTGAGCCTCTCTGCACATGTGCCTGGAATTGCTTACCTTTGACCCCCAATTATTCTCTACCTACTTCCGTCCCTGCAAAGTCTGGTGGAGAAACTTTTCTTCCCGCAAGCTCTTCTTGACCACCCCCTGCTGCCCCCTCTGCCAGGTTTACAAAATTACCCCCAGCTAAAGTCAGTATCATATTACTCACCATTGTGTGTCCTGAACCCCGACTCCGGGGGGTGACTAGGTATCACCTTTGTGTCTTCAGCACACAGTGCCTGCTTTCTGACAGGTGCCAGACACACCTTCACTGCACCGAGGGGTCCTGAAGAAGATACTGGGAAGGAGCTCGGGCTGCTGGAGAGAGAAAAGATGGAGTGCTGGTGAGGGCTGAGCAGGTTCATCAAGGAAAAATGGCCGGATGTTTGGGGATGGACGGTTAGGTTGCAAATCTCTGTGGCTTAAAACAATGGGGGTTGATTTCTCACCAGAGCAACATGTCCCCTGTGGGCCAGCAGGGGGCTCTGTTCATGACAGTCACTCAGGGACCCAGCCAGAGAGCGCAGTCGCCATGCCCAACAGAACCCCACCATTGGGGGCAGGAGCTCTGTGAGGTCTTGCATCAGCAATGAAACGCTTTCCTTGAGCAATCGCGCGGCCCCACCCAATCAGAGGGTGCCAGGGAAGGACAATTCTAACATATGCTAGGCAGGCGGAAAGCTGGGAACCCTGGGCGGGAAGCAGGAGGGTCTCAGGGACAGCTCTCCTGGTTGGTCCGTGAGCACCAGCAGGCAGCACCTCCCAGGAGGGCCTCTGGCTTGGGGTTACCAGCAGGTGTAAATATCTGAGCAGGAGGCCTTTTCAGCTGGGCTCCTGTTCTGGTGTCACTGTGCCAGGGGGTAGGGGTGGGGCTGTGGGCGGAAACCACCAGGTGTGGCCCTGGGAAAGTCCCTGACATTCTAGAGAAACATGGAATTTCCTGGTCGTAACCATTTCTTATCCCACTGCCATCTTGGAGTTGACCAGAGCAGGGCAGACCCCTCCAGCCTCTCAGGAAGTTTGGTTTGGGGCATTGAGTCCTGCCTGGGAAGTTGGCACACCTGGGTTCCAACCCCAGCAATCTCGGAAGATCATGGGCAAAGTATTAAAAGCGTGGGGGCCTCAGTGTCTGGAAAGCACTTCCCAGTTTCCCAAGCATTTCCAAATATGTTGTTCCATGTCATCCAAGCAACCAGTGGAGCAAACGCTCCGTGCCTCATGCCTTGGATAAGAAAACTGGAAGAGTGGTATGCCGGGCCGAGGGTCACACCCTGGAGGGTATCCACTGTGTTCAGCGCTTATTCTTGGCCTCTGCAGCCCACTGGGAATATGAATCAGGCTCCTAGGAGCAGCTAGGCAGGGGGTCTGGACCTCCTCGGGGCACCTGAGTGTGGAAACTGTCTTCCCAGGCAGCTCTCCACTTGGCCAACTTGCCCAACTTGTTCTGTGGCCTCTGGCCAAGCCCTGAACTCCCCTGCTCCAATCAACTGCAGGAGATGCCCAAACAGCACCGAGTGGCCACTGCAGCTGCCCAGCCTCCGTTCCAGGGCTCTCCGGGGCTCGGACTCCGGTCCTATCACTCTACTTGGGAAGTCCGAGCATCCTCTCTCTCCTTCCTGTGACGGTGGCAGCTGCAGTCCAGCCGCCTCTGTCTCTTTAAGAGAGAGAGAGAGAAAGAGCAAGATCAGGAAGTGTGAGAGGGCTGAGCGCCTGGCTGGACGCTGAGCTCAGTGTCTGCCTCTCCGGAAGGCAGGGAGGAAACCCCAGGCTCCAGATCTCCCGGCTCCCAGCAGCACACGGCCCCTTCCAGCGGCCCAGTCCTCAGGTCCCTGGGGCCCACGGCCACCAGGATGCCATGGGCGCTGCCCATGAGTGACAGCAAACCCTGAGAGCTCTGCGGGTGCCGCCCAGTCCCACAGCTGAGATGGGGTGAGTGTGCAGAATCTGTGGGGGAGCCCAGCGTGGGGCAGCGCTCAGCAGAGGGCAGGTGCTGGGGTCTGGGCAGTGGCTCTCCGGCCCCCTGTGTCCTGTCTGCTGCTTCTGGGGGCCCCGGCCATGTCTGTGCCCCATCTCCGGTGGTCACCCTTGCACAGGACGGAGGAGAGCAGTGAGAGGCAGGGAAGGTCGTGGCCCAGAGGAGAGCTGCCATCTCCTGCAGCACCCCGTTCCTGGGCTCCTCCCACACCTGCAGCCAGCCTTCCGCTGCCTCCCTGCCTGCCCCCGCCTGGTGCAGGGGCCTGCCCTCCCCTCGGCTGGTGTCCTGCTCCCTACTCCGACTCCTGGGAGCAGGGGTGGCAGGGAAAGTCTGGGGCAGCCGGGGAATAGGGCTGGAAACCCCCAGCTGGGGAGGCTGACAAACAGGAAAGTGCTAGAGGGCTGGGGCCAGGGGCCTTTGATGGAGGCTGAGAACCAAACGGCCCTGAGGGCTGCCTCTCATCCGCCCTCCTCTTTCCGGTGCAGCTCAGCGCCTGGACTTGCCACAGACGGAAAGCATAGCACATACTCACCGCCCGGGAGAGTCTCTGCCTGATCCAGGGCTGCTCAGAGCTCGGGTAAGTGCCTCTGGCTGCAGGAGGAGGGAGGGAAGGCGGTGGGTGGGGCAGCTGCCCACACGCTCCATCACCACCCTCCTGCACCCCACAACCATTGAAAACAGAGTGGGTGCTTAGGCGCCGGTCTGGGGCTGCAGAGCAGACAGAGCTGACCGGGTGTGCAGCCCAGCAGCCCCAGGTACAGCTGTGGCAGAGCCAGGAGCATACCCCAGGGCGTGCTGCACTGTCTGGGACTCCGCCGGCTGCAGCGTGCTGCCCGTTCCTGGGATCTGCAGTTGTGCCCTGGCCCAGCACCAGACCCACACTGAGGACCAGCCCTGGCAGGATGACAAAGGCAGTGAAATCTGCTGCCCACCAGCTCCCCAACCTGGCCTCTGGCCCAATCTCAGTGTGCTCCTCCGCGTCACACCCCTAGGCCTGCTAGCTGACCCCTCCTCAGCCTCCGATGGGGGTGGGCGGACTGCCCCCCCATCCTGCTGAGTACTACGTCATCCTCAAGGGGTCTCTCAGTATGGCAGGTGCTTCTGTAAAAGGCAAACATGAATATATTTCTGAAACTAGGAATTGGCCACTGATCTCCTCAAGTGGCCTCTGGCTCATGGAATTGACATTCTCAAGGTTTACATTTTTAAAGAAGATGACATAGAAAAAGTTCAAAGCTGAGGAACTGTAAGATTCCAGGCAGGTGATGCTAGGGCGAGAGCCCATAAGATGTCACCCAAGGAAGCTCTGTCCTGTCCGGCCTCACTGGGGAGCATTTACCGGGAGGCAGCCCTTCTCATGCTCCTCATCCCACCTGTCCAGTGGAGACCAGCCCCGGCCCTATTTCTCAGAGGGGCACTAGGTCTGACCTAAGGTTCTGTGCAGCCAACTGCTTTAGGGGAACTGGCCTTTGGAAAGAAGCCGACGGCAATGAGGATGGGGAAGGGAGATGTAGAGGGGTTTCAGATCCTCTCCAGGGCTCCTGAGCCCTTGGATTTGATGGTCCCGTGGCTCCTCCATCCCCTCCGCACATACATGCACATGCACACACGTTCACACACACGCACGCCCACATGCCTGCTCTGCAGCCTCACTCTTGCTGTCTAGAGTGGGGCTGGCCTGGCCGTGCTGGCTGCGTGGTGCAGCTGAGCTCACAGCAGCAGGAAGTGGTGGGCCTGGGTGAGTGGGTAGGGAGGGGCTCCAGGCTCGTGTTGCAATCCTGGAGATTTGTGGTGGTGTCATTGACGCTGCCTGACCCGGGGCCCTGCCTTGAAGGACTATTTCTGCTTCCTGGGACAATCCCAGGCCTGGATGCCAAAATCCCAGAATTCTCAGTGCCTGGGAAAGGTGACAGAGAAAAGCGTTTGTCTCTTTAGGATGGCCTGTCTGGGGAGGGGACCAGTGAGTGGGGCCAGGAAGGGTACCCTGGGTGGGACAGGTGCAGTCTGTAGGCTGAGGGCCCAGTGCTTCTTTTTGGAGAAGTTACTTAGCCTTTCTGTACTTCACACTTCCTCTGCCCCTTGCCTCTGGAATGGCCACATGGAGCCCGCCAATGGGGTGTCTCACGCACAGCTACTGGTTAGGCCACCAGTGTCCACCCCAGGTCAGGGACGGACTCCTGGACCCCAGTGTGTTCTTCTTCTAGGTACAAGGTGGCTGGCCAGCCAGGGGCAGGAGATGCTGAGCACTGTCAATTACCTGTGGCACACGGACGACCTGCTGGGGCAGGGGGCCACTGCCAGTGTGTACAAGGCCCGGAACAAGGTAGGGCACAGCCCACCCCTGGCCCCCTCATGCCCAGGAAGTTCTTGGCCCAGTCAACCCCTAGTGGGCCACAGGGTGGTATGTGGCTGGGCAGAGGCGTCTGGACTTTGTCCTGCACTCTGAGAGGAGAAGGGGGGTACACTGTGGGTTTGAGCAGATGTGCAGGGAGCTGGAAAGGGCTCCTGGGTCTGATGCTTCTGTCGGGCACAGTTTGGGACCGGAGAGAAAGACAGGCAGACTCCAAGCCAACAGCCAGGGGAGAGGGCAGCAGATCTAGGACCTGCAGAGGTGGGAAGCAGGACGTGTTTGGGCTGCAGCAGCCTTCACTGCAGAACTGTATGGAACCTACGAGCACATTGCTCTCTCTTGTCTTGAGAACTGAAGCCAGACAGAAAGGGTCCCAACCCCAGGTCTGCTGGTAACGCCGGAGAGTCCGTGCTAACGCTGTAGTATTGTCAGTAGTAATAGTAATAGTAACAGCAAACCTGCAAGGTGTGAGGGGGTTGGGGGGACAAGCCCTGCTGCCTCCCGGTGCTGGACCAGCTGTGGGCGGCTGAGGGGGAGGGGCTCCGTCCCCAGCCAGGCTGCCTTGCCCATTTCTGGTGTTGGGCTGGTAGAGAGGCTGAGCGGAGGCCTGGGCAGTGTTGTGCTCCCGGCGCAGGGCTGGGACTTACATTCTCCCCCGTGGCAGAAATCCGGGGAGCTGGTTGCTGTGAAGGTCTTCAACACCGCCAGCTACCTGCGACCCCGAGAGGTGCAGGGGAGGGAGTTTGAGGTCCTGCGGAAGCTGAACCACCCGAACATCGTCAAGCTCTTTGCCGTGGAGGAGACGGTGGGTCCAGCACTTGGTCAGAGAAGGAGGAAGGAGGGTCTTTGAACCCCACCAGCTGGAAAGGGTCAGGTCGCATAGTAATGGAAACCTGGTCACATGCTCACCAGCAGGTCAGCCAGAGTGGCAACCTGCAGGGTGGAGGGAGGAAGGCCAGCTGGGAGGGGACAGTGCGTGGGGAAGTGAGGACAGAAAGAAGAGCCTGACCATGAGGGCTTCCTGGAAAAGGTACCGTAGGGCCCAGGTGTGAGGCCAAGGAGGAAAGGCTAGGCTGGAAGCTGGAGCCTAGGGCATGGGGGCATCGGGCTCAGGGCTGAGCCACTTCCTCTTGAGCAAGCTGGTTCCTCCCACAGAGGTGGAAGGGAAGGACGTGCCCCCTCCCCAAGCGTCCCTCTGTCCCACCCACAGGGGAACAGCCGGCAGAAGGTGCTGGTGATGGAGTACTGCTCCAGTGGGAGCCTGCTGAGTGTGCTGGAGAGCCCGGAGCACAGCTTCGGGCTGCCTGAGGAGGAGTTCCTGGTGGTGCTGCGCTGTGTGGGTGAGCCCCCCACCCCCAACTCCCATCGGGAGCGCCCCCACCCCCCAGCCGGCCACAGCCCCTGCCCTCGGCGCCAGGCAAAGTCCCAGAGAGGTGTGGTGTTCCAAAACAAGTGTCCAAACACAGAAGAACATTCCGAACCTCCGAGGCTCTCCATTTACAGACCTGGGACAGGCGCTGATGAATGGACAGAACCCACGTGTCCGATTGCTGCTCCTCCGCAGTTCAAAACTCCAACTTAAAAAATTTAAAACAGGCCGTATACCAATGATCGTAACAGTGTTATTCACAGTAGCCACCCAAAGATCACAGACAGATGAATGGATTAAGCAAAATGTGGTATATACATACAATGGGGTACTATTCAGCCTTAAAAAGGAAGGAAATTCTAACACATCCTATGACAGGTGAACCTGGGAGACATTCTGCTAAGTAAGCTAAGCCAGCCACACAGGACGGATACTGTATGATTCTACTTATGTGAGCCTCCCAGAGACGTCAGACCAGAGAGGCAGAAAGGGGAATGGAGGGTGCCAGGGGGAGGGGAGGGGAAATGGAGAGTGACTGTTTAGTAGGTAGAGTTTCAGTTTGGGAGGTTGACAGAAGTCTGGATGGTGGTAACAGCTGCACAACAATGTGAGTGTATTTAACGCCACTAACCTATACAGTTAAATGGTTTATGTGGTAAATTGCATTAGGTATATTTGACCACAATTCTTAAAAATTAGAAAATTAAAACAGGGAATAGGGTGCCACCCTCCAGGAGCAGAACCACCATCCCTCTTGGTTTCTTAGAGAACCCCAGAGGAACCTTGACACCCCATGTCCTTGAACACCCTCCTTTGCCCGGTGCCCGTCTGTTCTCCTGCTCTTCCCACGGCCCTGTCAGCCCATGGGAAATCTGTTTGGACCCACGGGCAGCCATCCTCCCAAGGCGCGTCCTCAGCTAGAGCCACTAGCAGCCCTCGTCCTGTCCCCAGCGGCTGGCATGAACCACTTGCGGGAGAATGGCATCGTCCACCGCGACATCAAGCCCGGGAACATCATGCGCCTCGTGGGGGGGGAGGGGCAGAGCATCTACAAACTGACCGACTTCGGGGCTGCCCGTGAGCTGGACGACGATGAGCAGTTCGTCTCCGTCTACGGGACTGAGGAGTATCTGGTGAGTGGGAGGCTGGGGGCCGCCCTGCCCCGGACTCCTTTGTGCAGTTAACAAAGGAGGTTGATCTGATCCTCACGGGGAGAACACCACTGGGCCCCACCTTCCCAGGGCACAGGGTGGGCAGGGGAGAAACGCCCGGACAGATTGGTCCACAGCAACAGCGGAGAAACGAGGAGAAGGAGTCTAAAGGTTCTGCTTCCACCAGAAGGTGGTGGAAGGGGGCCTGACGGATGGGGCTCAGCCCTTCCCCACCCCCTCTCCACGGCCGCTCTCTGGTCTCTCTCTGGCAGCATCCTGACATGTATGAGCGGGCGGTTCTTCGCAAGCCCCAGCAGAAGGCATTTGGGGTGACTGTGGATCTCTGGAGCACTGGAGTGACCCTGTACCATGCCGCCACCGGCAGCCTGCCCTTCGTGCCCTTTGGTGGGCCCCGGCGCAATAAGGAGATCATGTATGGGGGGGCCCTGGGCAGGGAATGAGGGGGCCGGTCCCCGGCCCCCTACTGGTCCTGCTGTATCTCCTGTTCTACCTTTGGCTCTGTGGTTCCCCTACTCATCCACCACCCCACTCCCTACTCCCCACTCCCCACTTTAGATCCTTGGTTACCCGTCAGGAAGCTGAGCCCTGCCCCTGGCTGAAGGGAGATGTCCTAACCCCTTATCTTAGTTCAGGGTCTTATTCTAGCCCTCCCTCCATTTATGGCTTACCCCCTCTCACCTGAGGCTCCAAAAGACACCTGTCCCTGGTTGCAGAGCCTGTGGGGGGAAGGTGGTGAGAACCCGGCCCCCAGACCCCAGGCCAGGGTCCTTCCTGCTGTCTAAATACAGAGGCGGCTGCTCCCAAAGTGGAAGACATCTGGGCCAGGCCCAGCCCGGGCAAAGTTTTACAGGCAGGCTGGGCTGTGGGATGTGTAGTGGGGGGACAGTAGAGCTCACGTGGGGGGCACTAAGGCAAGGCGCTATGGTTGGCTGAAAGCTAGAACCCTCAAATTCCATTTTTCAGGCTACCTTGGAGTATCTGGGTGACTTAAACCAGTACTCTGAGCCCCCCATGCTGTTTGTCAGCCCTGGAAGTGAAACGGGCTGGGGGGGTCCCACTGACCTGGTCCTGTCTCACCCCAGGTACCGGATCATCACAGAGAAGCCGGCCGGGGCCATTGCCGGCACACAGAAGCGGGAAAATGGGCCCCTGGAGTGGAGTTACACCCTCCCCATCACCTGCCAGCTGTCCATGTGCGTGGGACCCTGCGGGAGGGACGGACACAGACCTGTCTGGGCTGGTATCATTTCTCTCAGCTGAGAGTCAGGACCTCCCTCCGAGGCCTGTCCCACTGGGGCCTGGCATTCTGCTGGCTTGAGCATGCCCCTTGCCCTTCCTGGCCTCAGTTCTCCCATCAGGCTGCTGGAGGCGTTCTTCCAATTCTTCCTCCCCAGCCCACCCCACCCCACTACCTCTGTCCCAGCTCATCAGGACAGTCTCAGGGGCCCCTATTGCCACCTCAAGGAGGATGAGTCTGGGCCCCGGCCCCTGATAGTTTCCCTGTCCCCGGGTGGGCAGGGGTCTGCAGAGCCAGCTGGTGCCCATCCTGGCCAACATCCTGGAGGTGGAGCAAGCCAAGTGCTGGGGCTTCGACCAGTTCTTTGCAGAGACCAGTGACATCCTGCAGCGCGTTGTCGTCCATGTCTTCTCCCTGTCCCAGGTGGTCCTGCACCATGTCTACATCCATGTCCACAACACGTAAGTGGGCAGAGTGGTGGAGGCCCGAGAACCTTTTCTAGCCAAGCCGAAGGGCATGTCCTAGGCAGTTCTTTGGGGGTGTTTAGATATGAAAGTTTCTGGGTCCAGTCTCAGTTTGGAAAAATACTAGTTCCACAAAGTTAAACAGAGTGCCTTGGGGCTAGACTCCAGAATTCATCACCCTTTATAATGCTAATGTGCATTGTAAATTTTTGAGGTGTGTATGTGTGTGTGTTGCTGATGTGTTTCCCAAAGTTGTTGCTTACAGAACCCTTTATTCCTGGAGCATTTTATGGGTCTGGGTAAATTTTAATGGGCGTGTGGCACGAAGACGTGCCAGGTGTCAGGGCTCCTGAGTTCTCTCTGCTCTGTCTCCATCCACTGTAAGACAGGAGCTCTACCCTTTGCCTCTCCATCCTTGATAAGATAGAGAATCACATAGGTCCTCTCTCTGAAAAGCTGAGCCCTCTTCGTGGGTGAGGTCTTAGCTGGGGTTGGGTCACCCCCACCCCAGAGCCCGCCTCCTGAACCCCCCCTCCTCCTTTCCTCTCTCTGTCCCCCTGCATGCCTAGGGTAGCCATCTTTCTGGAGGCTGTGTATGAGCAGACCAGCGTGGCCCCCCAGCACCAGGAGTACCTCTTTGAGGGTCACTGCTGTGTTCTCAAGCCCAACCTCTCGGCAAAGCACATCGCCCACACGACAGCAAGCAGCCCCCTGGTCCTGTTCAGCATAGCCAACGAGACCCCCAAGGGGCTGGCCTTCCGGGACCGTGAGTAGGGCCACCCAGGCTGGATCTTTACCCCTTTCCCATTCTCCTCCAGGATGCAGGGATACACAATCCAGGATATTGATCAGTTTTATTGGTGAGGGTTTCTTTGGACCCACAGGCCGTAGAGAGCAGGTATGGGTTCTAAGTCTGCATGTGGTTCTGAAACGCCTTGTGACTCAGGCTGGTGGCTTGACCTTCCTAGGCTCCACAGTGTCCACAGAACTGCGAAAGAAACTTTAGTCAGAAGATCAGGATTTAATAAGATCTCCGCAGTCTCTGTGGTTGCAGGGAAGCCTGGGATGCTTCAGGTGGGACCAAGCAGGAGCCCAGGGTGCTAGAGAGAAGGGAAGGTGGTCAGGGGCCCAGAGCTTTGTTCTCCCAAGTTCTAGCAGAAATGTCCCTTTTCTTTTGAATGATGCTGATTTCAGCCTCCTTCTCAAGGTTCCCCAAGGCTGATTAGCCCTGAATTTCTCCAAGGGGAATTTACCTTGAAACTCCCAGGCAATGAGGGTGGGCTTAGCCCTGTTTCTGGCGGTTGAGGTGGTGAGCAAGGCATGGGGCTGTAGTTCTCCAACGTGGACACAAGGGGGCAGTGAGGGACTGCAGTTGTAAGGAAGCACATCAAGGGCATTTAAGGCTTGGGAGGAGGAGGCTCTAGGCAGTTGGGAAGTTGGAGGTGGACATAGGTGGGAAGCAGCTCCTGTGAGCTGGGAATAGGGGAGGATGAGCTCGGAGATCACCCAGGGGCCATGTAGGCAGCCCCCTTGACAGGTTCTTTGTCCGCAGCTGCTCTGGACATTCCCAAGTTTGTCCCCAAAGTGGACCTGCAGGCAGATTACAACACAGCCAAGGTGAGATGTGGCCCCCAGGTGGCGGGGTGTGTGTGGGGGTGCCTCCCACGGGGCGGGGGGAGTCTGACCTGCCCACACTGTGTTACAGGGTGTGCTGGGCGCTGGCTACCAGGCCTTGCGGCTGGCCCGGGCCCTGCTGGCTGGGCAGGAACTAACACTTCGGGGGCTCCACTGGTTCTTGTGAGTGCCCCCCCGGGCTGCGTGGAGAGGGCAAGGCAGGCGGCGGGTGGGACAGGCAGCCTGCACCTGCTCTGCACCTTCCTGGGCTCCCCGCAGGCGCCCTAGGTCCCCTGGGAGAAGGCAGCTCTGACTCGGGCTTCCCTTGGCAGGGAGGTGCTCCAGGCCTCCTGCAAGCGGACCCTGGAGGTCACACGGGTGGCCCTGCTCTTCCTCAGCAGCAGCCTGGGCACAGAGAGGTGGGTGTCCTGCCCAGGACGGGAGGCCGTCACAAGCGTGTTAGGCTTAGACCCCTCAGTTCTCTCTCTCTGTCTGACTGTCACCCCAATGTTTCCTACAATGCCCCTCGCCACTGCCCCTTGTCTGGAGCTCCACCTTCCCAGCCATGCTGGAACAGAGAGGGCACCCTGCCCTGTCCCTCATCCCCACCCTGCCAGGTGATGGCACATAGCTGCCCCCCACCCAGTCCCTTCACCTCAGGGGCAAGGGGGCCCCTGGGGACATGGCCTCTCCAGGTCCCGAGGTGGCCTTCCTGCCCCAGGAAAGGGCCTCCTTCCTGCCAGACCCCTTCTGAAGGTGCGGACTGTTCATACTGCCCCAGGCCCCAGAGCAGGACTCTAGGAGAGTCCTTACACCGTGCAGGGTGCCTGGTGCCCTGGAGCTGCAGAGACCTGCAGCCTCCTCCTCCCACTCCCTCGGGGTCTTAAACTGTCCTTGCCTTCTTGGGGCTCCGTGCTCTTCATTCTGACATGGGCTCATTAGGGGTCACAGGGTGGGAAAAGGTTGAGAGTGGGGAGGAGGGAACCCAGCTCCTGGGTCCAGGGATGAGAAGTGGGGAGGATTCCACTGGCCAGAGCCCTTCTGAGAAGTGGGTACAGCTCCCAAATCTTGCTGGGCACAGGGCTGTGATCCAGGTGAGAGATGGGGTCTCTGCAGCCTGGGGAAGCTCCTGGTGGCTGGAGCCTTTCCCACCGGGAGGGTACCCGTGGTAACACAGGTGTGAAGACCATGCCAAACAAGCCTGATGTCCCCACCCCTTGTGTCCCTTGTCCTCAGGAAGGTCCTGGAAATTTCCCAGCAGCAAACTGACTCACTGCAGCTGTGCCTCCCCCTGGAGCTGGGCAGCAGCAGGGCTGGTGATGGGGCGGATGGGTGGTGGCCGCTGGGGAGGAGGGGCTGCAGGGTGGGTGCAGGAAGAAGCGGCAGGGATAGATGTGGCACCGAGCACGCAGAGAGGCCCACGTTCCCCTGAGAGAGAGCCCCTCCCCAGCATGGGACTGTGACAGAATGGTTGAGTAAAGGGAGACTAGAGATGATTCAGGTGGGACGAAGCAGGAGCCCAGGGTGCTAGAGAGAAGGGAAGGTGGTCAGGGGCCCAGAGCTTTGTTCTCCCAAGTTCTAGCAGAAATATCCCTTTTCTTTAGAATGATGCTGACTTCAGCCTCCTTCTCAAGGTCCCCAAGGCTGAATTAGCCCTCAGTTTCTCCAAGATTTCTCCAAGAGGAATTGACCTTGAAACTCCCAGGCAATGAGGGTGGGGCTGTTGAGATGGGGAGCCTTCCTGCCCCAGGAAAGGGCCTCCTGGACATGGGTAGAGGCAACCCTGGAGGTCTGCCTGGAGGAAGGGAGGCTTTTAGGACTAGAATGAAAGAGAATACGTTGGGTTGGAAGGAATAGAGAGAAGGGCCATGATAAGGAGGGATTGGGGGTGAGGAGGTGCTGGTGAGGGCTGTAGTCATGATGGAAGATATCCCAGAGTGAAATGGAAGTGGGGGGCAGGGCTGGAAGGAGAGGGGAAATGCACTGAGGTCATAGAGGGTCCAGTTGGCAGATTTGTCCCCAAGAAAAAGACCAACAGGGTTCTACTGTAAGTTCTTGTGCAGGAAAAATATGTACAGAGAAAGCATTAGGGTGTTTGCCTGCCCCTTGCCCTGGACCTGTGTGTGTGGGAGTGACGGGCTAGCCCCGGGCTGGGGTCCTGGCATCTGCTGGCCGCTGTTGCTCCCGTCTGGTTTCAAGGTCTTCCCGTACTCACTGCTGGCCTCAGGCCATTGTCATCTTTCCCCATCTGTGCGTCTGTTCCTCTTTTTCAAAATGAGCAGGTTGGCTGATCTCTGAGGCCGCCCAGCCCCGACGCTTTGCAAACCCATTCCTTTCTGACCATCCTCAGAGATATAGATTCTTCTAAGGTCTGAAGCCAGTAACTCCTCCCAGAGTGGAACGTGAGACCTTTTAATAAACTGAATTTCCCTTTTGGAGGAGCCTGAGCACCTGGCACAAAGTGGCTGCCATTACCCAGCCTGGTTACTCACCTCTCCCACAGGGCACTCTTCCTGCCTCAGACTCCCTTGGCAGAGTGTTCGTGCCTTTGTCCCAGAGTTCCCTGGTCCTCATTGGCAGCTGCCATCTGGAGGCACTGTTCAGGCAGTCAGGACTGGCTCGGGGAATCCCGCTGCTCCCCTCCACCACCCAGAATGGGGTGTTCCTGCTCTCTAGGCAAGCCCCCTGAGGTCCCTTGTAATCTCACAGACACCTTATTAGGTCGCAGGAAGGAGCTGAGCTTCCCCGTTATGGAGATGAAGACCTGGGGTCTTGCAGGACCACAGTGACCCGAGGTCACCAGACTGCAAGGATGGCAGCCAGGGCAAGGGCTCCAACCCCGCACTCCCGACTCGCTGCCCAGTGGGACTGGGTCAGCCTCATCCTCTTCTGCCATCAAATATTCCACACCCTAAAAGCTGTTTGTACATTCAGTGATTCATTCAACAACCATGTATCCAACTGAACACTTCAGTAGGCACTGGAGATACCCCACGGGCAGAGCGGGAAGCACCCCTGTCTTCACGGAGCTGCTTCCTCGGTCCTGATCCTCTGCCCTCCTTCCTCCCCCCTCCCCACCATTCCCAAGCCAAAGCACACCGAGCTCTTCTTTCCTAACTGGTGTTCTAAGACCAGCGTGTGCTAATTGTAGAATGTCAGAATCTACAGGAAAGCAAAAATGAAATAGAAATTCCGTATCCTACCAGAGATAGGCGGTCCCACCTTAGCAATATACGTCACCCCCAGGCCCTTTTCTACAATAGGTATGTAAGTATGTGTATTAACCCCTACAGATTTTCCAGTACTTGCTGTCTTATAACCTGCTTTTCTCAGCTGATGAGCTCTCCCCTCTGTCAATACATGTTTGGCTCATCGAGTACCCGTCCGTATTCAGATTTCCCTGGTTATCCCCCAGTTTTCTTTTCCAGTTGCTATCATCCAAAACAGGATCCAATCCAAGAACAACACACTTTGTCCAGATCAGAACAGACTTGAGGAACCTAACAAGCAGACACACGCTGCCTCCCCACCCCATGTCCTTGTTGGAAGGATGACATGGGTGTCCCACCTGCTGGACTCACCTAGCACATCCTCTGGGTGTCGTTTGGTTTGTTCTTCTTTCCCAGCCTCTCCTGTAAACTGAGAGTTCTAAAGGCTGGAGAGATTCAAGCTAAACATATTTTTTTGGCTGGGTATGTCAGAGATGCTGCTGAGTACACCTCACACCCTCCCACCCCGAGCGGGGACAGCTGGGCTCCCAGTGACATTCTCCCTCTGAAAGAATCAGCACGGTGTTATATGGCACCACACAGATGTCATGCCTTGGTCATTCATTGTCGATTTTAACACCATGTCTAAACCAAGTGAATAATTTCACTGGAGCAGCATGATGCTAATATTCCAGGTCCTGGCACATTATTAGCTAGTATTCTATACAATACAATTTTCCCCTTACCAATAAGCTACTGGTTATCATGAAATGCAGTATCTACTGCAAAGGAACTTTATTCTTTTCCTTTAGCTTTAAATTTTCTTTAGCAGCTGCCTATCTCAATATTTATTCTTTGCAATGCTCAATAGTGTCACAGCTGGGGTGAGTATGGGCCTCTTCAGGTGGGGTCCTCTGTCCCAGCCACAAAACTCCCCAGACACTCCACTAGCCAGCAAGGCTGCCCCAAAGACACCCTGGGCACTGTGCAGTCACAGAACTCTCTGCCTGCTATTTCCCTAAGTGTGCCCCTCCTCCATCCTTCCCTTGAGGCTCAGTGACATGGCTGAGGTGCGTGGGACCCAGGAGCTGAGGAGGGCCACGGAGCTGAGGACCCAGCTGCGGGCTGTGAGTGAGGCTGGGAGCAGCAGGGGCAGAGGGTACAGGGGGCAGAGGGGGCAGCCAGGCCGCCCCTCAGAGCCCCGTGCTGAGGACCTCGTGGGGGTCTGCCTGTTTGTCCTGCAGCTGGCTGAGGTCCTCTCCAGGTGTTCCCACAACATCACAGAGGCCCAGATGAGCATGGGCCACCTGAGCTTGGAGCTGGCGAAGAACCGGGATCAGGTACATGAGGACAGAAGGTCTGTGGGGTTTCCTTCTCGGGGTGGGTGGGGCACTCAGCTTGAAAGGGCCAGTAGCCGGGTTTCTCCCCTATCTTGGCAAGGGTGCTGGGCTATGGGGCAGCGGTGGGGTTCAGGGATGCACCAGACCCTCCCCTGAGACTGAACACGGGGAGAAAAGGATTTGCGGTCCTGCCCCCATCTGGGAGTTTTGAGAGTGAATTAGAAATCTGAGCAGATGTAATAGTTCTAAATAAAAGAATGATTTAGTTCCCTTTCTCTTCTGAGCCCCTGCTCTGTGTTGGACCCTTGGACACTTATCATCTCACTTAATCCTTAGAACAGCACTACTATTTAGGCCCTTTTATAGGGGAGGACGCCCTCTCAGGGAGGTTGATTTGCTCTGTCATAGCCAGTAAACATGACAAATGACAGAGGTGGGGTTCAGGTCAGGTTTGCCCATCTCCAAAGCCTGTCCCAGGGATTTACAGCAAGCCCCTTTCTCCCTTCTAGCAAACATATAAATGCCCACTCACCTCACAGCCTGATGTGGGCCCCCCTGACCAGGGCAGGGCCAGTCGCCTCCCTACCTCCTGCCACAAGTGCTCAGAGGGACCCTTAAGCCCATGCCACCGACTCTGAACTCAAAAAGCCCTGAAACCTGGAGGTATCTTCTTACCTGTTTTGGCTGTAAAACCTGACCTAGACTGACATGAGGTTCTTCATAGTCTTTACTTATCCCATGTAGAGTAATTCTTCTTATGTTCTCTGAAGATCCAGTGTATTTGGTGAGGGGATGCTGCCCCAGACCCCGCTAGGGGTGTTCTGGCGTAGAGTGCATCACTCTGAATGACCTTTCTAAATAGAAGGCAGCTCTGAATTTGGAGCACATCTGGCCCACGCCGTTTGGATACGACTGGGTCTGAGGTCTTGTCTGACCCCTGGTCTCTGGAGGGCACTTGCCTGGGCCACAGTCCAGCTCCAGAAAAAGCTGAACTGGGGCACAGGGAGGAGCTGTCGGGAGGAAGTGGGGCTAAGCAGGCCTGAGGGTGTGGAAGAGCCCCCAGCAGACACACACACCCAACATCTCAAGCATGGCATTTGTGTCCAGCCTAAAAAGGGCAAGGAAGAAACAGTAACGACCTTAAACTCCAGGCTGAGAAGGTCCTTGGAAGGTCATCTGCTGCACTCCCCTGCCTCTGGGCAGGACAGAGGACCTTTGATTCATTTCTTATTTTAAACAAGGCTCGTTGATTCTGTGCACCTTCGACAGGCCCAGTCTTGGATACACCAAGAAGGCTCTCTTACCCTTTCCAGGGGACCAGAGGAGCAATCTCTGCTGCACTCCCAGCCCGTTTCACTGCCTGACTGTCTCAGGGTCCAAGGCTCATTCCCAGGGTCTGACCTCAAGCCTTCTTAGGTAGAAAAGGCTCCTCTCTGGATGCCTGACCCATTCGACTTTTTGTCTATCTCATCTCTTAGTAAATACCCCGTGTGTGTGTGTGTGTGAATAAACGGGAGAATGAGACGGCTGGCTGGCACCAAGGTGCCTCAAACAAGCTTAGAGACAGAGGAACCACCCACTCGTGACTGGCCCCCCAGGGTATGGCAACGAGATTACTTCTGCGGGAAGGCAGCTGCTCCCCTCTTCCCACTGCCATCCCCTCCCTGCCTCCCCCTTTCCTCTGTGCCGTAGGAGTCTTCCAGCACCCCTGGTCCTTGTCTTCCGCCCACAGCATCCAGCAGATTCAGTGTTGTTTGGACAAGATGTACCTTACCTACAAACAGTTCAGGAAGTCCAGGATGAGGCCAGGTGAGCTGCAGGAACGGCAAAATACTTCTGTGCCACCCCTTCCCTCCCTTTTCCTTCCCTCCGTCCCCCTGGTCCATCCTGTTGCCCCGTAACCCTCCACCCAGCACTGCTCTGGAGGCCCACCGTGTGGGGGGTGCTCTGCGGCACTGGGTGCAACTGGTCTAAGGCAGGACCCCTGCCTGCAGGCCAGCGAGGGACAGGAAGTCTGTACACCTGTGCCTGTTGCTACGTAGGAGGTTTTGATGATGCGGTGGGGACTCAGTGGGCTAGAACCTGGGCGCTACAGAAGAGGTGGCCCTGGGAAGAGACCCCCTCACCATGGCAGTCACTTCACAGCTTAAGGAGTATTTCCCTAGCCACTGGGTCTTTGCCGCACCAAAATAGCCAGGTTTTCCAGATAAGAGAGAATCAGAGAAATACCATTTGGCATCAGTGGGCCAGCTGCTTTGCCCACCAAGTCTGCTGATTCTCAGAAAGACCCTCTGGGAAGGGGCAGCTCCTTTTCAGGTTTGGAAGACGCCGCACAAGGTGACTGCCCTTATAGGGCAGGGCAGGACGGAACCAGGGAGGGCTGGGGCTGGGAGCCAGGGGGGTGCAGGAGACCCCAGATGGTTCTCGGGGTTGAGAGAGGAACCCACCCTCTCTTCCCACCCAGGTCCCAAGCATTTCCTGACATGTACACTGAGGGTCTTGGGCTTGACTGCCAAGTTCTCTTCCACCCCTCGGATTATCTAAACAGCACTGTCCCATAGAAATACGGTGGCAGCCACATAAGAATTTTCAGTTCTCTAGTAGACACAATTTGAAAAGTGGAAAGAAACAGGTGAAATTAATTTTAAAATATATTTTACTCAACTCCCTTTATCCAAATTGTCATTTCAGCAGGTAATCACTGTAAACAAAACTTTTAAAAAGAGGTCTTACATTTTTTTTTCTGTGCTGAGTCTTCACAATCACACGTGTGTTTTACACTTACGGTACATCCTGTTTGGAAGCTAATTTCTTTTCACAAAGTGAAATGTAGTGAAAATGTAATCTTACCAAAAGTAAAATGTAGGTCTTACAAAACAATAAAGCTGTGTTTAATTGGAAAAAAATATTTTCCAAGGCTTCAGCTTTAAATTTTTAATTAATTGAATTAATTAAATGAAAATAAGAATTCAGTTCCTCTGTCACACCATCCTCATTCAGTGATCGGTAGCCACCAGTAAATGTCTGGTGGCCACCATGTTAGACACACAGATCTGGAAAATGGGCTCCCTCCTGGGAGCGCCAGTCCTGCCTCGGGGTCTGCCCTGCAGGGGTAGGCGGAGCAGTGCAGGAGACCGGAAACCCCAGACTGCCCTGTCCCCAAAGGCGGTGGGGCCTTGTGGCCCCATAAGCTGTGATTTTAGGGAACCCTTGGAGTCTTCTCTGCCTCCATCCCTGGAATTCCATAATCCTGCCATCCCTACCCCCTGAACACCTCCCGTAATGTGGGGCACTGTCCTCGATGCTGGGCAGATTCTGAATTTATTTAATGCTCATAAAAACTCCAGACACCCTAACCACCCCGTCTCCCATTATAGATGAGGAAACTGAGGCACTGGAAGGCTAAGTGGCCCCAACAATCTAGGTCCAGCTTCAAACCACCCCCTATTATAGCCTCAAAGAGTTTCCGACATTTTTGGGGTTTATTGGCCTGCAGGGGTCCTTTATTAAAACTGAAAACGACCCAGGCAGAATAACTCTTGACTACTAACACCGCTCTTCTGAAAATGCACCCTGACTTCAGGGCCTCCTGTCCTGTCGTGGTGGATGGCCAGAGTACTGTGAGGGGGGCCCCCTGGCTCCAGCTCCCTGCTACTAGGAGGCAGGGCTGGGACTGGGAGCTTGGACTTCACACGTGTTCCACTGGCTGAGAGCGGGGCCCAGGATGAAGAGCCCAGCGGGGACTCTGCCGTTAGGGGCAGGAGTGGCGCAGCAAGGCAGACCTCCCCATCATTTCCTTGGGGGAGCCACTAGCCGAGGCCCATTCCCTAGGCGCCCAGGAGGGGGTGGCATCACCCTAGTGCACTGACACACTGGGAGGTGGCCGAGGCCTCAAAACTGCAGCCAGCCTGGCAAAAGTGGCTGCACCCAGGAGGGGAGGTAGAGAGCGGTGGCCCTGCTTACCCAGCCTGCGCTGTGGAGCCCAGCGGGGTTGGGAAGAGGGCAGGCTGTGTACCTTTCAAGGCCCATCCATCCACCACTCCCCACCCAAGGCCCACGCTTCCACCCCTCCCCACGGGTTGGCCAGCCCCCGGAGCACTATAGCCATTGCTCTAGAGCTCCATCATAACGCCATTTCTGGGGTGCTTATTTCACTCCTATCCCTCCTGGCTCCCCTGGCTGGCGTCTTCCGCAGAGCAGGACTCAGGCTGGGCTATCTACATCTCTGTAGCTGTCCCCCAACCCTTGTGGATTCCATTCTGTGGCTGATTGAACAGGTGATGTCCTTCCTGTCTGATTCCTTCAGGGCTTGGCTACAATGAGGAGCAGATTCACAAGCTGGATAAGTGAGTGGCCTGACCCCCGGCAGGAGGGGAGCAGGGGGGTGGGTGTCGCCAGGGCAGAGAGATTCTCTGTGCCAGACTAGATGGCGGGGAGAGGGCCCTGACGGCAGG